TCCAACAGGACATGGTCCTCCTCCAACAGGACATGGTCCTCCTCCAATAGGACATGGTCCTACTCCAACAGAACATGGTCCTCCTCCAACAGAACATGGTCCTCTTCCAACAGAACATGGTCCTCCTCCAACAGGACATGGTCCTCCTCCAACAGAATATGGTCCTCTTCCAACAGGACATGGTCCTCTTCCAACAGGACATGGTCCTCCTCCAACAGAACATGGTCCTCTTCCAACAGGACATGGTCCTCTTCCAACAGGACATGGTCCTCCTCCAACAGGATAATGACCAACACACAGCTAGAACCACTGAATGGATCAGAACCAAACAATGGACTATTCTGAAGTGTCCTTCTGAGCCCTAATCTAAATTCTAAACAAGTTAAGTCAGGTCCTCTGGATGAGTTCAAAAAATTAAAATTAAAATTGTAGAAACGATTCAACTTTCATCCGAAAGACTTCTTCAGTCTTTTTCTTCAGTAGATTTTTCTACCTGGGTTATTGAGCATGCATCAGGATACCTAATCTAAATTGGTGAACATCTGTAGAAAGAGCTGAAACATCTGGAGGAACCCTTCAAGCCTGAGACAGCTGGAGCAGTTTGGTCATGAAGTGTTTTGTAATAGATCTAAATAAAAGGTTCGGCCTGGGGGGTTTATCATCTCAACTGGATTACCAGTGTGGTGAGTTTCTCTGTAGTTTGTTCTGACTGTCTGTGGACCCGCTGTGCTCCCTGTGACCTGATGTCCTGTGTCCATCAGAGGACAACAGTCTGAGCAGCCTGATCAAACACAGTGAAGCTGCAAACAGCTGAAGGCTGTCGTTTTACAGGCTGACATCTTCTGTCTTTGAACATTCTCATCTTTTATTTTACTCATGTGTCTCCATCCATTCATCTTTTTCACTCACTTCCTGAATCTGCTTCTAACAAGAAGCATTTCATTAATTATAAATATGTATGCAAATGAGGGTGGAGGCAGGTGTGGGTGCTTCACCTTTTCCACCCATATTATGACGTTGTCAGTCCGGGGAGTTGAATCGCCAACTTTCTGATCATAAGCCCACCTTCTCTAACCTCTGCACCACCACTCCCATTATTATTATTTTTCTGCACAACTCTGAAGACAGCCTCAGAGCTTCACCTGCACATCACTGATGCACTAATGACTCAAATATTGCAGTGAAAAAGAGCAAAATAAAAAAATAAAAAATGTTTTGGGAGCAAACAAATAAGACCAAAGTCCAGTTGGTTGATAACAATTTGACTTTTATATTTTAGAGCATTTCAAAAGTTGACAGTAAACAAATGAACTTATTGATGCTTCAGTTCACTTTCATCGTGTAATGAAAACAAGTGTATTATTGAAAAGTGTCGGTTTAAATCCAAATGGGACATTTAACATTTGTTGACACTGTGGTGTTCTTGTGTGATGTCATGTGCTGGGGTGGGGGCAGCATGAACAGACAGGATGGGGCTCAAACTGATGAGGAGTCAGCTCTGTCCTGGGCTGCACAGTGAAACCTAGGCCTGTCACAATAAACAATAAATCAATTAATCGCATTATAAATGAAATTTATCAACCTCATTTTCATTTATCGGCTTTATCGTTTCTTCATCTCTCTTTCTACTGAAGACACTGGACGACAAAAAGATCAACTCCGGTGCTCTTCACTGACCCCTCTCGTTCTCTTTTCTCTGTAAAGTCTGTTTTAACGATCGCAGCTAAGCTGAGAAGCTAAGCTACAAGCTAAGCTAACAGGGCGACCAAGGGGGAAAAAACTCTGTCTTGTCGAAGCTCCAAAATTCAAAACTGAAACCTGTGCCTTCGTGTAAAAAGTTGTTTTTCTCTGTAAAAAGAAGCTGAGGACTTGTTTACTGATTTTTATGTTAAAAGCTTTGTGTGAACTGAAAAATGTTATGCTAAAGAGCTCAAACCACATCGGGTGTCTGCCATTTTGAGAACAGAAGAGAGCCAGTCCATGTCACGTCATGGGGCCTCTCTCCCATTTTTCTTAAAAAGACACGCTGCTCGCTCCCTCACTATCCATCCTTCGGTTCAAACAGTCTTATACTGCCATCCAGTGGTCAAAAAAAGGTACTACACACAAAAATTACCCAACATTTCTTCTTAAATTTGACAATAATAAATATTGTCAAATTTCAAACAATATTATTGTTTCTCACAATAATTTCTGAGACAATTAATCGTCCAGCAAAATTTGTTATCGTGACAGGTCTAGTGAAACCCCTGGAAGAGGTGACTGTCAGAACGATGCTGGCTAAGCTATTCATCCATCATGGCCAATTCCTCACACCCCTGAGCAGCGAGATGTTTACACACCCGGTGCAGGAAGGAGCACCACCACAGGTCAGTCCTGCCCAAAGTCACTCGACTAGACAACTGTAATAAAGAATCTCATCACTTTACACGTCCTCTTCAGTTTTCCTCATAAATAAATAGCTCATGATTTTTTTTTTACTCCTAGTTTTTCTGAACTCTGTCCTGTTGTTGCTGATCTGAGTATCCCCTTGTGGAATAAATCAGAGTCAGAGTCAGAGTTTCTTTATTGTCATTCGCACCTCATGTGGTGGAGCGAAATTATGTACGCAGGGTCCCAGTTACATCCAACAATAAAATGTCTAAGAAAAACAGTAATAACATCTAAGATATGAACTAAGAAAAACATCAACTAAATATACACTAAGCACTCATAACATAAAACATTGAACATCAGCACAAACATGAACATGAGTCTGTGAGCAGATGTGCACGCATGAACACATCAACATTGAAACAGATCAGCAGCAACATGAAACAGATCAGCAGCAACATGAAACAGATCAGCAGCAACATGAAACAGATCAGCAGCAACATGATATGGTTTTTCACAGTGATTATTCTAGTTAGAGATTCATGAGTCTAACAGCCTCGGGGTAGAAGCTGTTCCTCAGTCTAGTGGTTCTACACTTAATGCTCCTTAACCTCCTTCCTGAGGGGAGTGGGGCAAAAAGTGTGTGTGCTGGGTGGGTGGGGTCCTTCATGATGCAGGTGGCCCTCTTCCTGCATCTGGAGGTGTAGATGTCTGTGATGGTGGGGAGGCTGATTCCAACAGATTTCTGTGCAGCCTTCACCACTCTCTGCAAAGCTTTTCTTTCTGCAGCTGTGCAGCCTCCATGCCACACATTGATGCTCGAGCACAGGATGCTCTCCACTGCACACCTGTAGAAGGAGGTGAGGACTGAGCTTCCCAGACCAGCTCGCCTCAGTCGTCTGAGGAAGTAGAGTCTCTGATGAGCTTTCTTGATCAGGCTGATGGTGTTGTTGCTCCAGCTGAGGTTGTCATTCATGTGTACACCCAAGTACTTGTAGCTGGAGACCACTTCCACCACAGATCCTCTTATGTTCAGGGGGGTGTAGGTGTTTTTGTTCCTTCTGAAGTCCACAATCATCTCCTTTGTCTTCTTCACATTGATGTGAAGGTTATTCTCTCTGCACCAGCTCTCCAGGTGTTCCACCTCTTGCCTGTAGCTGGACTCATCATTGTTTGTGATGCATCCCACCACCGCTGTATCATCTGCAAACTTTACAATGTGACAGCCTGGATGGGTAGCTGCACAATCATATGTGAGCAGAGTAAACAGAAGGGGGCTCAACACACATCCCTGAGGAGAGCCAGTGCTGAGGGTTATGGTGGAGGAGGAGAGGTTGTGCAAATGCACTATTATCTTAACATTCAGCGTGTGGACTATTGATTTTACAGGTTGTACTTGAATGCATCATTAAGTCATTGCACTGCCTACATGTGAAGCTATAAAAAGTTGTGTAGAGATGCATTTTTTAGTAATCAGAGGATTCATCCCAGGTGAAGGTCTTACTCTGGTAGGATTTTTAATCAGCCACCCCCAAAAGGTGAAGGTGGGCGATAATGTTTTAGCCCCCATCTGTTGGTTAGCAAAATATCTCATAGACAACTGCCATTTTTTACTACACTACTTCCAACATGATGGATTAGTGGTTCACACTGTAGGTTCACAGCAAAAAGATCCCAGGTTTGATTCCCAGGTTGGTCTTTCTGTGTGGAGTTTGCATGTTCTCCTCGTGTTTTTTTCCAGGTCCTCAGGTTTCTTCCCTCAGTTCAAAACATGCCGACAGGCTCAGGCCCTTACAAAAGAGATCTGTGATCTGGGTTAAATAAAAGTTAATAATAAACAAAAACCTAACAAGGTTAAGTCAGGTCCTCTAGATCTGTCCAGATGACCTGAATTAACCTCGTTAGATTATTCCACCTGGATTATCGAGCATCAGGACAAAAACAAAACACACCTTACAAGATGGCCGCCACAGCTAATCAACATTAGCTATAATGGCTATAACTCTGTCAGTTTAACAGACACCAAGTTATAATTTGATGTGGTAGTGGAGAGTGATCCTCAGCGCATGCTCCGAGCGCGAGATCTCGCGGTGTTGCACGAGACTTTAGATTTGACCCACAGGGCTACAGCTGTCATTAACACAAGATGATAAACATGGGAGGCGGCGGGCGACATGCATTCCTCCAGCTAATACCGGGCTTTTAGCTGGAAGTAATAAAACTCATATCCGGTTTGAACTGTCCGTGCCAACAGAAAAGGCCGGTGCCCATGAGCCGGAGTGTTGTGGAGCTAACACCGAACCTGTAAACAGCCAGCAGTGGGCCATCGGAACCAGTTCCAGCAGGTGTAAAGGTTCTGGTGTCGGAGCAGAAAGGACAAGGAGCAGCAGAAGTCGTCAGCTGACGTTTGGAGCAAACCATTTCGTGTCATTTACTAGAATCCAGTCAGCTGTCCACTTAGGAGTAAAACACTTTATTTCAACACAGAGAACAGGCGCCGGCCTGAAAGTGAACACATTTAAGAAACACTTACTATTCGGGATTCATGGTGTCGCTGCAGATGCGTTTATCTGTTGCTTAATGGACTCTTCCTTCCTACTACGGCAGAAAAAGATGACTGGACAGCAGCTCCGTGAGTCTGAAACAGATGAACTAACCGTCTGGACCGCGGTCCTCTGATCCTTCCACTCTAATCTACCTTTACTTTAAAGATATTTACGCTTTAAGAAGACATATCTTTACCATCGTCACTTATTCTGGTCTGTTTTTCTTCCTTTTTTTCTCTACCTTCGCTCACTGTTCGTTAAACCTTCAAGTTGAGCGCAGGTGCGGAAGTGACGTATGAAGACGTGTCACAGTTAAAGGAGCCCCGCCCCGATATGCGTCCTCCATTATGTAACCCATGAAATATGGACTCTCTTGTCTGTTGTTTGGAAGAACCTGACTGTTCATAGGTACGACATGAAACAGGTGAAACGGTCATGTTTAGTCAGGGATTAAGAATCATGTTTTGTTATTTGCTGGGTAATATGCTGAACACCGAAATAAACTGGTTAATTCAAGCTGCTAAGAAGTTTTTTCATTCTTTCAGCCTTTATACAGCTTAATCCCATTGAGTCTCAGGGACTCATTTACAAGAGAGACCTGATTTTAACAAAAAGTGATAGACAACAGTAGACAATCATCAAAAACAAACAAATTGCGAAGAACAAATTAAAAGAAAATGGTATTAAAAAATTAAATAAAAACTGCTAGATTGTAGATTGCTAGATTGTAAATCCATGTAGAAAACAAAAACAGGAACATGTCTGCGTTGTTTTTTGCCATGACCTTAGCAGATGTTTGAAGTCACTTAGAGAGGTCATGGTCGAGAGCTTCAGATCTTTTTGCAAGATATTCCAGGAAACAGGAGCGGAGTAGGAGAAGGTCCTTTTGCCTAGTTCAGTCTGCACTGAGGGAACACTGCAGGTAATAATGTCCTGAGAGCGCACGCTGTAGCTGCACTCACACAGAGACATGTAGGAGGAGATGTATGAAGGCAGTAGACCAAGAAGTGATTTAAAGATGAAAATGTACCAGTGAGAGAGTCTGTGTGAAGTTAATGGTGACCAGTTAACCAGTGAATACAGGGTGCAGTGATGGGTACGATAATCACGGCCAGTTATAAATCTTAGTGCATCATGATAGTCAGCATCCAACATCTGCAGGGTGCTTTTAGGAGCGTTCATGCAAATAATGTCACCATAATCAATGGAGGGAAGGAAGGTTGCAGTTACAAGGCATTTACTAGCATTCAGAGTTAGACAGGATCTGTTTCCCAGTTTAAGTTTCTTTACCAAGTTTTCCACATGGAGCTTAAAATAGAGATGTGAATTAAGATACCCAAATATTTGTATGGATTGAAAAACTCAACAGGGACACCATTCGAGGGTAAAATCAAAGGAAGAACTGCTGGGACCGACTTCCTGTTTGAAAACAGCATCCCGTTGGTTTTGTCAGCATTACACAGGCTTACATTGTCAAGTTTGAGACGGAACAAATCTGACTGATGTCAAAAACAGATTGCAAAAGCTGGTATGGTATGGTATATAGTTTATTCATTTTAAAAAAGTACAAAACAATTCCATAACAATATAAAAAAAAAGGATACAAAAGATTTAAAATGAAAGGCAGCAGAAAAAGCTGGAAAAAAGCTGCAAAAGCTGGAAAGCCTTAACAACTGTTTTAGCTCGACAATAAACAACTGTGTCATCAGCATAGAAATGTAAGGATGTATCGGGGATGCTCTGACCTACAGGTACATTACCTATGTAGATTGTAAAGAGGGTGGGTCTTAAGACTGAGCCTCGAGGAACACCATTGTTAACCATTAAATAACTGGAAGAAGTACCATCATGCTGAACACATTGTCTCAGATCTGAGAGATAGTTAGTGAACCAACCAATGGTTTAGCTGCATTTTGTTGGTTAAATTAGACATGCAGCCAATTTTGGACACAGACTAGAAATATTTAAAAATGCAGTGTAAATGCTGCATGACTGCTGACGAAGGAAAATAAGCTAAAACTAAGGTGGTGAAAGAAGTAGAACATTAGCTAGAATCTAAGAGGCCAAACACGAAAAGGTCAAAACAACTACCGGTAGTTAAAAGTCTAAAAGTAGCTAAAGGCTTGTTAAAAGTGCAAGTTTATCTAAAGGCCAAATGAAAAAATAAAAAAATAATAAAAAAATAAATAAAGGCCAAATGAAACAAAAGTCGAGCTAAAAGGAACAAAATGCTAAAAGAAGCAAAACACAAGATATAAACTAAAAGTGGCAATGACACTAATTCAAGTTTTTTTTTTACTCTGTTTTTTTTCTGGTAAATCTTAAGTCTTTGCATTTTCTTCCATGACCTCCAAGTGATACAGTCCTCCAGCTGTGGATTAATTCAACCTTTATTTCTACAACTTGGTCTCAGTGAGTTACGAAGACTCATTCACAAGAGAGACCTGTTTACACAAAGAACACAGATGAGGTACAGACAACAATAGACAATCTTATAAAAATGTATAAAATGAAAAGTAAATGAAAGAAATTATATAAAAACGAAGCAAAACAAACTAGATTATAAAGCGATTTACTAATTGAGGCCACAGTGTTTTTTTATGTCAGTGTTCCTGGTTGGCCCTGGAACCTCTGCTTTCTTTTCCTTCTACTTTCTTTGTTTCTTAGGCAGAAAACAACTTCCAGTTCTAGGGTTGTCCAGCAGGTGCTGCTGTCACATCACCCCTCCTCTGCAACAAGTAATCAGTTTACCTGTCCCTGGTAGCTCTTGGTCCTCTGGATTTCATATTGGTCTTCTTTCATCCAGTGAAAACACTGCTGTGCACAGTCATCAACTGTTGTCCCAAGCTGTCCACTACATTCCTCTGCCAACGTTACCTTGAACTGTGGAAACCACCAACATTTTACTGATCACATCAACTCTGTGGATAAATACATCAAGTTCACACGAGAAGATATAAAAAAATGGCAGGTTGGCTTTCTTGGACTGTGAGGTCTCAGTCTCTGATAGAGGACATTTGCAAACTGAGGTGTACTGCAAACCCACACACACAGACCAGTATTTGCAGTTTGACTCCCATCACCCTTTGGTGCACAAGTTAGGAGTCATCAGGACTCTGTATCACAGAGCAGACAGTGTCCCCACTAGCTCAGGAGCCAGGCAGAAGGAGAAATCCCACACAAGACAGGCTCTAGAGAAATGTGGATATCCTAACTGGGCCTTCCTGAAAGCAGAGAAGAAACACAAACAGGACTCCAGTCAGCCAACAGGTGAAAAGGAGGAACCCAGACCCAGACCAGTGGTCATTCCATATGTTGAGGGAGTATCAGAGAAACTGAGACGTTTATTTTCTAAACATAACGTCCCAGTGGCTTTTAAACCCCAAAATACATTACGGCAAAGACTGGTTCATCCCAAAGATCCAGTTCCCCGGCACAAACAGAGCAATGTTGTGTATGCTGTTCAGTGTCAGGAGGGCTGTGATCAGTCTTACATCGGGGAAACTAAACAGCCACTGGCCAAAAGGATGGCCCAGCACAGAAGATCAACATCATCAGGCCAGGACTCTGCGGTCTACACTCATCTCCAGGCCAGCGGTCACTCTTTCAGGGATGAAGATGTGCACATCCTGGATAGAGAGGAACGATGGTTTGAGAAAGGAGTAAAGGAGGCCATCTTTGTGAAAAGAAACCATCCATCGTTAAACAGGGGTGGAGGCCTCCAGGTTCAACTGTCCCCCTCTTACAATGCTGTGATTGCTAGTATCACTCAACCTCCTGTGAATAGTAAACAGCCATCAGTGTGCTAATGATTCATTGTTAGGCAAATCAGAGGCAGGGCAGATAATTGCTGTAAAATAACTTCTGGTTCAATTTTAGGCATTAAAAAAACAAGTTAGATATACTGTAGTTCTATAATGGCCTAAAGTGTTTAGATCAGGAGTGGTCATTTGGAGCAAGGGAGTGATGACAGATAATTTCAATGTCTGTGGATTATAATCAATTAAAATAGGATAATTTGATCAAGAATCAAAGTTGAAACAAGCAGGATGTTGATGTCTCAGTTGCTGAGGGATTTGAAAAGCGAATAGTTTTCAAAATGAGTGTTTTTCTGTACTGAGTTTGAACAGGGAAACCTAAATGTTTTTGGTGCAAGATATTCAAATGGGTACAGGTCCTTCTAAAAAAATTAGCATATTGTGATAAAGGTCATTATTTTCCATAATGTAATGATAAAAATGAAACTTTCATATATTTCAGATTCATTGCACACCAACTGAAATATTTCAGGTCTTTAATTGTTTTAATACTGATGATTATGGCATACAGCTCATGAAAACCCAAAATGCCTGTCCCAAAAAATTAGCATATCATGAAAAGGTTGTCTAAACAAGCTATTAACCTAACCATCTGAATCAATGACGTAACTCTAAACACCTGCAAAAGATTCCTGAGGCTTTTAAAAACTCCCAGCCTTGTTCATTACTCAAAACCACAATCATGGGTAAGACTGCTGACCTGACTGCTGTCCAGAAGGCCATCATCGACACCCTCAAGCAAGAGGGTAAGACACAGAAAGAAATTGCTGAACGAATAGGCTGTTCCCAGAGTGCTGTATCAAGGCACCTCAGTGGGAAGTCTGTGGGAAGGGAAAAGTGTGGAAGAAAACGCTGCACAACGAGAAGAGGTGACCGGACCCTGAGGAGGATTGTGGAGAAGGGCCGATTCCAGACCTTGGGGGACCTGCGGAAGCAGTGGACTGAGTCTGGAGTAGAAACATCCAGAGCCACCGTGCACAGGCGTGTGCAGGAAATGGGCTACAGGTGCCGCATTCCCCAGGTCAAGCCACTTTTGAACCAGAAACAGCGGCAGAAGCGCCTGACCTGGGCTACAGAGAAGCAGCACTGGACTGTTGCTCAGTGGTCCAAAGTACTTTTTTCGGATGAAAGCAAATTTTGCATGTCATTCGGAAATCAAGGTGCCAGAGTCTGGAGGAAGACTGGGGAGAAGGAAATGCCAAAATGCCAGAAGTCCAGTGTGAAGCACCCACAGTCAGTGATGGTCTGGGGTGTCATGTCAGCTGCTGGTGTTGGTCCACTGTGTTTTATCAAGGGCAGGGTCAATGCAGCTAGCTATCAGGAGATTTTGGAGCACTTCATGCTTCCATCTGCTGAAAAGCTTTATGGAGATGAAGATTTCATTTTTCAGCACGACCTGGCACCTGCTCACAGTGCCAAAACCACTGGTAAATGGTTTACTGACCATGGTATTACTGTGCTCAATT